AAACTGTTGCCTGAAGCAAGTCATCAAAACATTCAGAAAGACGTGAAAACTTTCTTTCGTCCGTAGAAACAAACAGATGCTTTAATGACGACTATATTTATAACGAAAGAGAAAACACGCTGCTGGGTGATTTACATAAAATATTTCACCGCTTTGTAATCGCGAATTACAATCAGCTATGGCTACCAATCCATGAGTTCGAGTTTTTACCTTCATCTTTGCTTTTAACGTTATATGTTTTTGCATTAACGAGAGAATACCTTGCGCTTAGACAGATCTGCCTTAACGACATGAGTGACTTTGAGGTTGCGGTGGCACATGGAAACTTGAAGTACAGAAAATTCTCGACTAATCACGAAATGAAGCTATGAATGACTGTCGAAAGCAATAAACAACGATGGCTAGGTATAGGATGCATGGTTAGTCGGGTACTGGCAGAGGATAACCCATCATGTTCTGCAAAGTAGTTTTGCTTAAGTGAAGACGTCAATGTCAAGCTTAGATGCAAGGAATCGAATCTTCTATCTGTTTCTTTCCAGCTGTAAAGCCGAATATTTGCATATTATATTATTCACTTCCTCAACAGAAAGAAGTTGGTTACAGTTTGAATTATTTAAAAAATTAACAAACATTGTACTAGTACAGATGTATTTAATTTACAGTCTAAGTTTTAACCAAATAATATCGAAACTGAGATTGCACGAATTCTCGTAACTTATAGCATTCATCGTACTCAACTAACGGCAGATTCTTAACTTTACTGTATTTGACATTAAACTCTCTTCTAGCGTCATGATTTCTTAGCTCTACGCACATCGAGAAGCGAGACAGAATAAATTACGTGGTACCTGTGTACGCCGTTTGCTTCATGTCTTTTTCCATTAGCCGCTTATGATATGAGCTGTTTCCATAGGTTCGAAGCGTAGAGTGGATTCGCATATGAGTGTAGAGGTTGGAGGCGCGATTGAACGCCTTTCCACAGTCGTCACACGCATACGGCTTTACCTAAATTAGACAGAACAGGTCTCCCTTTTCGAAGGTGCTGTTTGTTGACTTCAAGGTTATCATAAGCCAAAAAATCACCTCGATACTGCGAAAATATTTATAACAAGCAACTTCACATAACGAAAAGTCTTGCTGATCCAGAAAACTTCTCTGTTATTCAGTATACTTTCGACTTGCGCACTTGAAATGCACGTTTTTAATAAAGAAGTATCTAGATGGCATATATATTGGCGTTGCCATTGGTCATAGTCGATTCTTTAATGTGAGTTTACAAACAGAAATCAAAACGGATTGAAATAAAACATTGTCTAAACACAGCAGCTACTAAAGTAATACGGGTGTGTTCAGCTTGAAATGGAACATCAAGCAGACTATACGAAGACTGTGCTTATACAACCAACATATGTTATAATTAAATGTTTCAAGTTGGCATAATTTCTGGCAACAAAAAATCTGAGTGGAATGAAGTTAACACATAACTGCGATGTTAAAGAAATGTGATTCGAAGGTTTTGTCAGTTAGAACTTAATTGTGTAATGAGCTTAAGTCTGCAAAACTAAATGGTGAGGCTGAAGCTAATCTCATCTTTAAATTAAAATGTAATGAAAAAACAGGTGTATGTTGTACTTAATGCACTAACAACTACTCCAACGTTGCTGGTGCGAGACTTGTTAATAAAGGAAAATGGTTAGGGGCCGTGGCGAGGATCACTCATAATTTAGTTACCAACCCCTCATGATATTGCGGTTATCGTACGCAATAGCCGTACCGGATCGGCCGTTGACCGGATGACCAAGGGCCGCGCAAAATATCAGTGATTAGAACCTTCTTCACACGTTTTGACAACCTGGACGATGGATGTCGCAGATGAAGACGAAGATGAAGAAATTATCTTTCAGAAACGTAATCGCTAGCCGTTCTAAACGGAGTAAGCAAACAGCTCGATGCCATTATGTCACAACACATAACATTGCACGGGAACTATGCCAGCAGTGGTAACTCACAACTGAAATGGGAACATCTCCATTTTCAAAGGAAAACAGCGGCATCTAGTTAATAAGGCCGAAGGGTATCGACTGTACACAGTGGGCTTCTCGTCAACGAAACGC